ACATAACAGCAGCTTTAACGTGTGAAATCAATGTAATCATTCAGAGTTATACAACAGTCGTTAGCATCAGTAGCTCACACAGAAATACTTTTATTCTTTAGCCGACATATCCGACTACAAAACTCTACAATCATTTCTACAATTAAATTCACCTTAAAGGTTCCATTCTTAAATGAATTTCTTAAAACTTGGTACAAACATTGTCTTGTTCTCGTGGACGAGCTGATTAGAGTTTAGTGGTTGAATCTTAAAGTTTTGCCTTGTGATGATGTAAAGTGTTTTTCCTCCTGTCGAAAGTCTTTTTTAAGAACAGAAGATCTCGTTAAGATCTAAATTGTGATTTGTGAGTAAAATGTGATTGATTGCTGGTTGAATAAATGTGTGTGAAGATGTTTCTGTCGTTTCGGCTCGTTCTCATCTCACTGAGGTTTGTTCGAGTTTCTCACCAGTTTGGTTTGAATCAGTTAGTTGAAGACATGAAAACAGGCGGAGACACGTCGTCCATCTTTATTGACGTCTTTGTTGTGGACGGAGCTCAGAGAAGAAACTCTGAACGATGACATGAAGCTTTTATTCATTTTATATTTTATTATTTGTTCGTTCACGCAGCCACTGATCCTCTTCTCCTCCACTTTTATTATATTTGTCACAGAGTCTCTCTTTCCTGTCTCACCTCTCCTCCTCCCCCTCCCCTCTTCTTCCTCTTCCTCCTCCTCCTCCTCCTCGCAGTAATAAGAGCGGGGAGGTCAGTCAGTCGACCCTCTGAGGCCGAGCAGCCAACTTTAAATATTTCACACTATTTTAAATGAGCGCACATGAATCATAGATCACAGGCAGCAGTCCTCAGTGTGTGTGTGTGTGTGTGTGTGTGTGTGTGTGTGTGTGTGTGTGTGTGTGTGTGTGTGTGTGTGTTTGAGGAACTGAACCTGGGGCTCCTTCTAATAACCTCTGGCTGTCCGTCTCAGTGAGGAGGTCTGATGTGGAATTTAGATCCGACAGCGTCAGTCGTTCACCGGGGACGTAACGAGCAGCCTTTCATCAGCGGCCTTGATGGACGGATGATGAAACAAAGTGTTTTTTCATCTGCGCCTCCTCGGGGGCTGATCTCCCCGATTCCCAACATGCAGCAGAAACATCAAAACATCACAAAAATCTGTCCAAGTATTTTGGAGACACGCTGTCGCTGCTGGAGACGTGACGTGACGTTTAGGTTCCTGGAGAAAGACTCCGTCGTCTGATGTTGCTGCAGGGAGTCTGTGCTGCTTAAAAGAGATTTTATATTGAATTCATCATATTTATCTATGGCCGCTGCTCGTTCTCTGAGTTTTATGGTGCATTGTGGGATAATTTGACTCGACTAAAGCACACAGAGTAACGACTCTCAGGAGACCAGTGATCGCAGGATGAATCTACGAAGCTGCAAAACTATGAACATGAATTTCTGTTTCTACACAACACAAAACACTTTGGGTTGAAATAAAGATCGGAGCTGATCATCTGATCAAATAATCCTGAAGTGTGAGGAATTTACAAAATCATCTTAATGCAGCCGATCGTGTTGGAGCCTCCCTGAACTTATCTCTGATAATCGGCCGAAGGAATCCTGAGGAGGAAGCTGGAATAATCAGTGTGAGCGAGCTGACGGGTTTGCTCCTCCTCCTCAGACGTCATCCATAGTTTTCTCTCTGTTTGTTCACAGAGTGTTTTCACGTTCGGGTCGAATCATCGTCATGTGCATCCGGATGATTATAAAATAAAATATAGCTTTTAT